ATCTTGGATCAAATTCAACCGTGTGGTTTCTGAGAAGAAATAGACCCTCAAAAGAAATCCTCTATATGAACATTTTGTTCCAAGGTAGAAGTTAGTCGGACTCTCATATTTTGATGAATGTCATCCCCCTTTTCACTAGGGTACTTGCCGGGACGGCTCTATGATCTCAATGCTTCGAGATACGGGAATCAGGACGAGTTGAAGAAGCTTATTGATGCTTTCCATCAAAAGGAAATCAAATGCCTCGCCGACATAGTAATAAACCACAGGACGGCGGAAAAAAAAGACAGCCGAGGAATATGGTGCATCTTCGAAGGCGGAACACCCGATGATCGTCTTGACTGGGGGCCGTCTTTTATTTGTCGCGATGATACTGAGTACTCTGATGGCACAGGGAATCTTGATACAGGGGAGGACTACCCCCCTGCGCCCGACATAGACCACCTTAATCCGAGGGTGCAAAAGGAGCTGTCCGACTGGATGAATTGGTTGAAGAGCGATATAGGATTTGACGGGTGGCAATTCAATTTCGTAAATGGTTACGCCCCGAATATCACCAAAATCTACATGAATCAGACTTCGCCGAATTTCGCGGTGGGAGAGAAGTCGGATCCTCTCTCTTATGGACAGGACGGGAAGGTCAACCCGGACCAGGATGCGCACCGCCGTGCGCTGGCAGATTGGGTCAATGCTGCGGGTGGGGCCGTCATGGCGTTCGACTTCACCACGAAGGGGATCCTCCAGGCGGCCGTTGAAGGGGAGCTCTGGCGGTTGCAGGATTCAAATGGGATGCCGCCGGGATTGATCGGCCTGCAGGCAGGAAGCGCTGTGACTTTCATCGACAATCACAACACCGGATCCACGCAAAAAAGCTGGCCATTTCCGTCCGAAAAGGTCATGCAGGGATATGCTTACATCCTCACCCATCCCGGAGTCCCATCCATTGTAATGTCCTCTTGCTCTCGTTTCATCGACTCACCTCACTTTTGTCCTGTGTCTGTGATAACTAATGTACTATGTTTATGTCTGAATGTTGCCATGTACATTGTGTTTTGCTCTGTTATAACCTCAGAGAAGTTCATCTATCTGAACTTATCCCATTCATTAACAAGACACATGCTTCTTGTCCAATGGCACCATATGAATTTGCTGATTTCTTTGTTTCAATCTGACCTTAAGAAATGATATTTCTACTTGTGCAGTTCTATGATCACTTCTTTGACTGGGGCCTGAAGGAGGAGATCGGCAAGCTGACGGCGATAAGGGCGCGAAACGGGATTAACGAGAAGAGCAGCGTGAAGATCTTGGCTGCCGATTCTAATTTATATGTGGCCAAAATCGACGGTGGAGTGATTGTGAAGATAGGGCCGAAGTTTGAAGTAGGAGACCTTGTTCCTCCCAATTATCAGATTGCTACATCTGGACAAGATTATTGTGTGTGGGAGAAGAAGTGATGCCCAGGCAAAACTCATGAAAAGTAGCAACTGAAAGAGCAATTAGAGGCTACATCGCTAGAGCGAAATAAAAAATTTACAAGCGGTCTTATGCTCACCGTATGGAAATAAGTGAAAGTATTTCTTTCCACAATCCATGTTATTTATATAAGGTTAGCAATTCTCGACACCACTCGTTTGCATGATACGGCATGACACCTTATGCAATTAAACATGTTTAAATTTGGCATAAATGGGTTCGTGTCGACCCATTTATGACACGATTAAAATCATATCTTAAACTGGTTGACCCACTTAATCTATTTAGACACAAATCGACCAACTTAGGTTAACGGGTCATTTGTTATAACGTGACATAGTTAGACATGTTTTAACACGTTTAACACTCATATTTAAAGACTTTTTTATTCTTAAAAGTTTACAAGAATAACACCCAATAATCATGATATGAAGTTTATTCTTAAATGCTTGTCATGATACAGCATGACATGTCCAGGTTCTATCGTTAACTAAGCACCATTGTATATTGATAGCTATTATGGTCCTCAATAATCATGATGTCTCTTGACCATCGGCATCTCATTGATACCGAATTTGTATCAGCATCATGTCGCTTCTCAACAATTGTGTTTATTGATTTCGTTATTAACAATTCAACATTGAGCTTCATATTAACGTTATGTCAATTAAGGGAACTTGGTTATTTTTTAGTGTCAATATAATTCTTTTAAATATCGGAAAGGCCCAAGTGATCACCCTTCAAAGGTTCAAATAAAATGCCAGTTAGACTTTTGGCTTCCGTACTCTACTATAGTAGTCACTTTATCTTCAACCTGTGCCAGCATGCTCTCGACTGTGATATTGATAGTCAACATATAAAGTTTCAATGACTTACTTGATTTAGTGGCTTCAAAACAGTATGTTTTGTTAAGTATTCCTTAACTCGATCAACGGCAAATTGCTACTTTTCTCCCCAAACAAATTTTTCTTAAATTTTTTTTATCTAAGTATCGAAGTTCCTAGATTAATCGGTGTTCGTGGAGCTGTTCTTCAACACTCGGACTTCCAACTGGTGATCTCAGCTTCGCCGGAAAGGCACTGGATATGCCGGTCGAGCATGACTTTCAGGAGATGGCGATCAACCTCTCACCGATCGTCTCAGGTGAGGAAGCTCACCGTATAGGCCAATTTGCCGGCGCTTTTCCAGCCGGAAAAACGCCGATCACTCGGTCTTGGGAGTCTCGACTCACTCCCTCTCTAAAAATCTCTCTTTCTCTCTCTAACTCTCTCTCTCTTCTCTCTGGAATTTCGTCGATTGTTTGGTCTCCTCCGATAATGATTTTTTCCTCTCTTTTGTAGCTCGATTTCCCGCCCAAAGTTGGTTATCACCAACTCTAAATCGGTTAGATCGAATTTCCGACGTCAGCTGGAGATTCTCCAGCTGGAATCGGAGATTAACACGTGCTTATTTGATTGGATTAAGTCGATCAAGAGGCGGGCACAAGATTTTTTTTGGGTTTTTATCACGTTCTAGGCAAGTCGGGTAAGGAAAGAGACTGACCCGGGTCGGGTCGGGTTGACCCGGTCGACCCGGTAGAGCCGGGTTGGTCTAAATTTGTAAATTAAGCCCGATTTTGACCCAATTTGTCATATTTAACCCCAAAATTGGACTCATTGGCACATTTTGCATCAAAACATGAGATTTGCCTTAATTTTTGTCACAATTAAACCAAAAATTCCCAAATTTTAAAATCCGGGTCACTAGGGTTCTATTCAATCCAGTACTTAAATGACCTGATTGAGCAAAATTGATGCCAAAATTGGATTACCCATGACTGATTAACCCTAGAAATGATGGTCTTACGGTTCGACAATTTTGAATTGGTTATGATCCCCAATTTGGGTTTAAAATTCCTAATTTTCAATTGAATTTTGGGGCTTTTTGATTTATTTGATAAATTGTGAAATTGGACCGACCATTATGTAATTCAAGGTCCTGGAATCATTTGTTGTGAAGACACTATGATCGAAAAAAGACTAGAAGTGAATTAATTGAATTTTTTATTCAATTTGGGCTAGTTTTTACCCAATTTTGGGAAAAATACATTCCCAATTGAAATTTTCTAAAATTGACACTGTATTAATGAAATTGGTTTTAAAATAAGACTAATGACTATTTTTATGGAATTTTTAGATTCCATTTGCTATTTTTCTTGATTTACATCCTTATTTTGACCAAAAGAAATTAAAGAAAATGAGATGAGGACTAGATATAAGGAAAGCATCTTGCGTCTTTATCTCTGCACTGAACCCTAAAAGATCAGTTTACTCCAACATCTACGTCACAAGGAATGAGTTATTTTGGTGCATGATAGCCTAGAAACTCCAGTATTAGGTAATTTGTGACCTGAAAGCACCCATAAAACAGTAAAAAAAAAAAAATCATTGCGATCCAACTTATCTGTCCCCTATTTGAAACTTTTCCCTTAGACATTCCATGCATACATCCAGGACACAGAAAATGAAAAAAAAATCAGAAAGGGTCTTTATTGATTATGATGGTAGCCTATATCCGGTAGAGTAAACTACTACAGTTTTACTTTTGATATAAGCATTTGAGAACACAATCTCTTTTCTCGTTCATTCAGTGGCACAGGTAAAACAATTTGAATATCATCCATAGAGATACGAAACACTTTTACTATTGTTTTTAACAAAAAGATCCAGCAAACAATAACAAGAACCGGTAGCGGCAAAACCAATCAAGCCTACTCTAGATATTAATTGATTAATTGATCAAGCAACGGCAAGAGCAAAAGACAATCCAGGTTTTGGTAATCCACGTCAAGTTATTTTTCTAACATGATGATTCATCAAGCATGGAATATAAATTTTGAAATTTGTATGACAGAAAGAGAGACTAAGTCACTAAATTGCATTACTGTGATTCGGAAGGATTGGTATGACTAACTAAAGTATCAACCAATAAGTGGAAGTTCAATTTAATGAGCACAAACTTAGGCATTCTCCTAACCTTCAGCAGGAAATCAAATGAATCTTAAAATTTGAGCAAATGTGTCCATCATACAGGTCTTGAATCTATTCAAGCGCTCCCAAAAGAATAGGCAACAGTGGAGTTTTCCCATCTGGCTTACTAATTTGCTAATTAAGGCAAACAATCCGAATATATGGGACTAAAAATATCATTTGGACGCCTTGTGGCTATCACTTGATGGGCACTCAAATATCAGTAGCTCACTTTGCTCTAATGTATGGGTATGGTCGCTTATTGATAAGGACCCACCTGTTGAACGTGCCCACGTTTTATTCAAATTTACAATTCGCAGAACAAATTTCTGTTCTGTGGTGCTCTTTGACGTCACCTAAGCCGACAAACGTGTTTCACATCATATCGTGCAATAATTGAGCCGGACACCTCATATTGTACAATAATTGCAATAATTGAGCCGGACACCTCATATCGTGCAATAATTAAGCCCGGAATAGTTTGGGGTCTATGGTCACTCTTCGCCTATATAAAGCAGTGACCAAGAAATGGAAAACTAACACCCACTAGCTGCAAAAAGATTAGTGCGTCGCAATCATCTGCTTGTTTCGATTCTTACTCAAACATCAATGGCACACCAGCAATTTTCTTCGCAGTCCGCCATAGTAGGCAGTGAAGAACATGACCAGGAGGCCATTGACGAACTAATTGCTTCACTGCCCCAAAGGAAAGGCGTGGTTCATCCTTTCCATTCCCTCTACCAAAACTTCTGGTGCCCAACCCAAGTGCTTCCCAACGTGATCGCGTTTCAGCGGCACTTCCAAGCCAAACACAAGGACATTGTCCTGGCCTCTCAGCCCAAATCAGGGACCACCTGGCTAAAGGCCTTAGTGTTCTCCATCGTTAACCGTTCCCGCTTCGGCATCTCCAACACACCCTTGCTCACTTCGAACCCCCATGTCCTCGTCCCTGGCTTCGAGTTCCAAGTGTACAAAAGCAACCCGAGGCCCAACCTTGACAGCCTGGCAGAGCCGAGGCTATTCCAAACGCACATCCATTACCCATCGTTGCCGGAGTGCATCAAGCAGTCGGACTGCCGAATCATTTACATCTGCCGAAACCCATTAGACGCTGTGGTTTCGTCTTGGCACTTCAACCTCGAGATTGCGCAGTTGAATGACCAGCCAAAGTGGTCCTTGGAAGAACATTTCGAGATCTATTGCCAAGGGAAAATAGCGTTCGGGCCCTTTTGGGATCAAATTATGGGCTATTGGAAGGAGAGCTTGGAGAGGCCACACAAGGTGTTGTTCCTCAAGTATGAGGACTTGAAGGAAGATGTTGAAGAGCAGCTGAAGAAGGTGGCCGAGTTTGTGGGTCTTCCCTTCACTGAGGAGGAAGAGGAGGGAGGTATGATTGAAGAGATAGCCAAAATGTGTAGCTTAAAGACCCTCAAGGACCTGAAGGTCAACAAATCCGGCATACTATCAGCTAAGAATAGGAAGATTGAGAATAGAAGCTTTTTCAGGAAAGGCGAGGTGGGTGATTGGGTTAACCATCTCACTCCTTCCATGGTGGATCGCCTCAATAGCATCATGCAAGAGAAGATGAGCCCCTTTGGATTGGAGTTCAAAACACGTTGAGTGTTAATTAATTTCACTTTCTCGATGTGTGTCATTAGAAATAGACGAAATTAATAATGGAATGATATGCAATCCTCCTTTTTGGTGTAGTGTAGAAAACTCAAGATTGAGAAGAGAAGTTTATTAGGAAAGGCGAGCTGGGTGATTGGGTTAACCATCTCACTCCTCCTATGGTGGATCGCCTCAATAGCATCATGCAAGAGAAGATGAGCCCTTTTGGGTTGCAGTTCAACACATGTTGAACATGTTGATTGCTTTCGACCCCTTCTTTCTCTATGTATATAAGTAGAAATAAATGAAAGCTAAATCGAATGGTTTTCGCAGTCAGCTTCTCATGTCGTGCTTCTCCTCATTATTTGGTTAGTGTAGAGAAAGAAAAAGAATCATTCTCAATTGCACTAAAGAAATCCTGACTTTCTCTGGGCTAAAGACCAGACAAGTAGGGGATGCTGATCAATCGCATTCTTTTGTTCAATTAAAACTTTTCTGATATGCAATCTTAATATTGAAATTGCTGATCTCTATGTCTTGTGTCCCAAAATCACAACATCGACCAACGAAAAACTACGAATATTTGACAAACAAAAATCGCATTATATGAGTAAGGACGGTTCTACTGATCTATTTAAAAAGAATTGGATTTTTTTTCCATGCTGGTAAATATTTGAAAATGTTTGTGTGAAAAAACTGTTGGAAATATCGATCACCTAATTTTCTTGTAATTTCTTGATAATTTACCAACACTTTTATTGAATTGCAAACTTTTTTTGATAATTTACAAGCTTGTTATCTCCTACCAACTTTTATTTGTTTTTCTTATCTACCCCTTATATTTATCAACTCTTATATTAATTTACTCATCTTTGTATACGTGACATACTAATCGAGTTACTTGCCACCGCTCATTTGATATTTTCTAGATTCATCAATTTTTTTCATCATTTATCAACTTTCTAATTTACCAACTCTTATACGAATTTACCAATCTTTATTTGTGTGACTTACCAGCATTTCTATTATTAGACTACCAACAAGTTTCGTTTTACTAGTTGTCATTTGAGTTGCTCACGATTGTGTAATTTATCAACTTTTCTATTGAATTACCAGCTTCTATTTTTTTTTCTACCAACATGCTAAATAAACAACTCCTTTTAGAAATATGGATTAATACCACCAAAAATCCCAAACTATACCATTTATGACACATTTACTTCAAACTTTTTTTTGTGACACTAAAAACCCCAAACTATGCCCATTGTGACACATGTAACCCAAAATTTTTTTTGTGACATAAAAAATCACAAATTATACACTTTGTGACACATCTACGTTCCGTTACAATTTCGTCCAAAATCACTGTTCATCGTCTTCCCCAAGAAAAATTGCACTGTTCATCGTCTTCAAAGTTACTGATCATTACCTTCTCACTCGGCCGAAGCTCTTCCGGAGCTCGTCCGTCGCTGCCCATTGTTGCCTGGACCTCCAGGCGTTTCGTCGTAGTTGTCGACTATGGCGACCGCTCGAGCTCAAAGCTTCAAAACCGGTAATATTTACACAGGTCGGCACTTCATGTGTTTTCTGGGTATTCCAGGCCATCAGAGAACCGTACCTCCAATGAAGCTCAAAATTCCCATACAAATTCAAAAACCCCACATCATCAGAACAAGCTTCGAAGAAGCAGACGATGCAAAAACTCAAACTTAATACCAAATCAAGCCACCCACAACACCGCCTCAAGCAGCAAAAAGAAATCTGAGAAAAATCCAAACGAGGAAAACAGGGGGGGCATTTATTAATCTACGTTCGAAAGATAAAAACTCGTGGTTGATTAACGGTAGTGATTCTTGATAAGAGCCGAAGCAAGGAATTAGTACCCGAATGTCTTCCTTAATGTTGTCCCGTCGTCGTGGTCGTCTTCCTCCTCCTCCTCCTCCTTCGAGCTCCCATCAATGGCGTCTCAGGCGTCCATCTTCGCCAGGACCCGCACTCTCCTCCACGCCCTCCGCAATCCCCCTCCCATCATTTTTCCTGACAAGTTAACAATAACCTGACGTAAAAAATTGATATTTTCTATCACAATTTGTAACTGTTTTTTACTCGTCGGTCTGGGTAATTCTAGAATGGCTTCGGTGTTATTTCTATCGATTGCAATTCCTCTTTGATTAACTAAAAACACAAGAAAATTATCAGCTTTTACTCCAAAAACTCATTTAAGGGGATCCGTTGTCAATTGATATTATTTCATCATAATAAATGCTTGTTCAAGATAGAAACTTATCTTATCATATTTAACGAACATGTCATTGATGTAGGCTTCCATAAACTTGCCAATTATGTCATGGAAGATGAAGTTTATTGCCCTTTGAAATGTAGCTCCAGCATTCTTCAATCTAAATGACTTCGTTATCCATTCAGACGTACCAATTGCTCTTGGGCACCTTAGAGTTGTCTTAGGCACATCTTCCTCGGCTATGAAAATTTGATTGTACCCTAAATGGCCATCCATCAAGGATAACATCTCATTGCTTGATGCTGAATCGACCATCATATCGGCTATTGGCATATGATACTCGTTTTTGGAGTTGCTGTGTTAAAGTTCCTAAAGTAAATGCAGACTCTCAACTTCTCATTTTCTTTTTTCACGTTACTTATATGAGATAGCCATTCAAAACATAACGACCAGTTTTTATAAATCCTCCCTTGAGCAGATGCTCAATTTCTTCCTTCACCTTTGAAATCACCTATGGAGCAAAACGCCTAGAGCTTGCTCATGCGGTTCAAATCCCTTTCTTATTGGAAGTTTATGTTCCACCATATCCCTTCATAAACTTGGCATTTCACGATAATCCCATGCGAAACAACCTCTTATGCTTTATTATTGAACTAAGACCTCTTATGCTTTATTATTGAACTAAGATATCTTCATCCAATAATCCACTAACATAAATCGGTCGATATTGCTCTTCGTTGCTGATGTCGAGTTCGATTAAAGGGTCTTCAGCTTCAACTACTTTGTTGTCTTCCATCAATGGAGATTCATCGAAATCAACTATACAATCGGCAACCTCTAGAGATTATTTTAGATCTTCCAATAACGGGTCGTATTTAATATAAAAGATTAAATTCCCAAGTCGCTAGCCCCCTCTTTTTGAGATTACATTAAACAGAAACTATTAATGCTTGGCTGGCCCTAATGGTCTATATTTGTAAATGCGACGGCATAACTGCAATGTACATGCTAATCAATTCTTTATATCAATGCACGCCAGATTAACGATTCCCTTATGTTTTCTTTAATCGAGTTAGTTAAAACGAATTGAAAGGGAAAGTAGTAAGTCTTTCAATTTTGGGTTACATTTTGGATCGACAGATGCCGAACCGAATCATTGTACTCCAAACTTTCCTTGCATGAAACGGAACCAGCAAATGGACAAATCAATATATGTCAAATTTCTTCGGTTCGGTTGGGTATACGATTTCTACCATCGATGCAATAGGTACACTCGGGTTTTGTTAGGTAAAATTGAAAAGTAGCTGCTGAAATTTAAGTACGAGAATTGTCCAATTAGTTCTAAACATATTGTATGAATGCCAATTTAGTTATAAACTTTTCCATTTTGTCAATTTAGTCCTAAACTTTTTGCTCGACATTCTAATGTAGCCCTTCTGGCCACTATTTCAGGCGAAACTTGACCGAAATGACTACATTGTAATTTTCATGCAAAGATTTAGCACTAAATTGGTAAAATAAAAAAGTTTAGGACAATAGTGACATTTGTACAATATGTTTATGACCGATTGAACAATCTTTCAATTTAACTACTAAATTGTAAATCTCGATAATCTGAAGAGCTGAAAATAGAATTAAGAGTATCTTTATCAATGTTAACCTTTTGGTACTCTAAGAAAGGAAATGTTGTCCTTTTCTCTGTCGCCGTGAGCAGATGAGGTTACAGTAGGAAATTCAGAGATACAATTTGATAGCATTTATATTTCCTCTCAAGATCATTCAATGCATCTATGGGGATCAAATTAAATATTAAGTTAAAGTTTATAGACTATATTAAACAAATTAAAAGTTGAGGGATCAAATTGCACACTGTGCCAAAATTTAGGGAATGTGCGTGTCATTTTCCCATCATTTAATGCATCTATGGGGATGATGAAAGAAACCAAGATGGAAATGATAAGACCTTAGGCAATGACAAAACACATTATTGTTCTATTGTAGGAAAGAGACCTTATGCAATTGTTTTCTAAAAATTCTTTGGTGCTGTCCTTTATCTTCTTTTTTATTTTTTTATTTTTATTTTTTTTCCCAATAGATGGACTGAAACTTTTACCTTGTGATGAAATTTTACTTTTCTATATCTAAAGATATGCAATTTTTCTAATCAAGTCTCTAAATTTCTCCAATTAAATTCCTAAACTTGGATAATATTTTTTAATCACGTTCCTCTAGCTGCAAATTTAGTAAATTTTAAGGCGGGTGTATTTTGGAACCGACAAAAGTCTTAACGTTAAAAGCTCAAGTGCAAGTGCAGTATTCATATTGATAAATCTTACTGCTCGATGTTGGGTCACAATCTTCATCTTCAAGATTTTTAGTTTCACAAATTAGCTTATAGTCCATAGTGGACCAAAAAAAAAAAAAATTCACGTCAAACTCTCGTGAGCTCGGATAGATATCTTCGCTTCAATTAACAAGATTTGGAGTCAGATTGCATAAATTAAAAGTTCAAGGACTTGATTGACAAAAATTTCGTAAGTTTTGGGCCGAACACTAAAGACCATTTTAGGATACGTGTGTCTCGTACACATGTTTGACCCCTAAAACCCCGCCATTTTCTAAGACTTCTGAGCTCGCGTGTCGCAAGAAAACCGTTGAGAGGCGAACGGTCCCGCGGGAATATTCTCTCACTGCGTGTGTATGTGTTTTGGTGCGCCTCCCCAATGATGTAGATTGATGAAGAACGCCCGGGTTGCCCCCCTCTTTTCCGGGCAAGATTTCTTCATCTCTCTCCACGGATCGACCCGCAAATTCATTAGACGCCTCTCTCATCATCTTGGTTCGTCTTGTTTTACGTGCAACATCGGATGCACGAGTTCTTGGGGTGTAGCAAATTGCTTTTGAATGGTTTTAGAGAGGAAGCGTCGTCATCATAGGTCTCCAATTTTATTGTTCCTCAGAACATGATGTCTTCTTGAGCTCGTTGATGAGTCTAGCGTCTGGTCGGCTCCTCCATGATTTGTCTGGTTTATCGAAATAAAGGTGTATTATCTGTTTGATTTCGTGTGGAAGGTTTCGCGGTTTGACTGAGATTAGAAACTTACTTATGCGGATTTTGCCGGTCCTGTTCTGAACGGGTGATGAAGGTTTTGTTAGCTGTAGTCGGAGATTTGCATATGCTCACAAGGCCATTGTCCTGAAGGAAATGAAGCCTCGCGTCAGCTATGCGATCCTTACATAGTTGGTTAGCTGGTATCGAGATTCAAAGTTCATATGGCCTATTGAATAGCAAGATATAAGAGCTTGGGAGATGCGAGCTGTGGGGAGTATAGGCAGGTACCTATCGAAAGGGGTGTACATTGTTTCTGGCCCCTTCCATCCGTTCAGTGGAGCAGTGGACATAATCGTAGTCGAACAGCCTGATGGTACTTTCAAAACCTCTCCTTGGTACGTCCGCCTTGGGAAATTCCAAGGGGTTTTGAAGACAAAAGAGAAGATTGTCAAAATATGCGTCAATGGGGTTGAGGCGGACTTCCACATGTATCTGAACCATAAAGGAGAAGCCTACTTCCTCAAGGAAGCAGACGAAGAAGAAGGGGAATCATATGAGAAATTTCCTTTGGGTGGAGAGAGGAGAGGGCATTCACGGGTGAGGTCGGGAAGTCGCAGTTTTGATTCTAATGGGTCTATTTTGAGTGATGCAGGAAATGAGAGCACTATGGCCAGAAGTAGTTCTCGCCGATTGCGAGCTTCTGGGCTTGTTTCAGGATGCAGATCGATGACGACTGATGGTCCCAGTAAACAAGAGGTCGGTGTTGGTGTCATAAGGAGAGGCTCATTAGAGCGCGCAGAGATTGCAGCTCAACTTCTTGAGTTGAATTGGTCGACAAATTTTGCCTCTTTCAAGTTCAGGAAAACATATTCTCCTGCATTTACTCCTGATACTTTTGACAGTAATATTGTTAATGTGGATGAGGAGCCAATCTGCAAGGAGTCCCCTGTCCATAGTAAACCGAAAAGCAGTTTAACGGATGGCCCATCGCATGAGGAAGCTACTTCTTGCAACATGAGTGTGCAGCCTGTTGAAAAAACGGACTTCATTGTCCAATGTGCTAATGGAAAGCTTTCATATTTGAATGGCACCGCAGAGGGCATTGCTACATCCACTGGAGGTAAGATGTAAGACTGAGTACTTTGGATGAACGCTGTGATGTACTATTAAAAACAGATTAAAAAAATCAAAGGATATTGGGTGTTCGACGATAATGCTGCAAGCCTGCAAGCATGGCTGTAACTGTCGAACCTTTTTCCCTTTTTCTTTTTCCATCTTATGTACTTAGTATTTCAAGTAAAGCTTAAACTCAAAGTAAGTGACTAGTAGAGTTTGCATCAAGATGTCTTAATGAAAGTATGTTAATCAACCAGGCAGTCATATATCCAAGGAGCAAACCTATGGAGTTCATTCCTTCACTGTTGAGACTTTGGAGAACTTATGTGCCTCTAGTGAGCCATCCAAAGAAATATTGCACCATGATAGCAGAGAAACCTGGGATGTCCATCCGGAAGCAGTACTGATAAATAACAATAGCATTGTTGAGGTAACTTTCTTCTGAAGTCTTTTATTAAGGGAGTTTAGTCCATAAATGATACTTGGATATGGTATCCTCCATAATGTCAATGAATGTCAGGATAATGCTGCCAGCACCAGGGAAAACAATTTTGTGGTTTTACTAGACTAATGATGCTTTTCTTTCAACTTCTGTCAGCTTCATTCTATAGTTTAGAAGATTTTGGTTGATCATTTTCAAGATACTTGTGCATAAGTGCAATTTCGAGTTCAATTTCAAATTAATCCACTGTATATTGCATGATTGGGTAGTTCAAGAAAACAACTAGAAGAATGATCTAGCTGCGCCTAATTCCTCCATGCAGGAATTTATGGGGATGCGCCATGGAGATACTGTCACAATACAGGAAACATTTGATCCAGTTGACAATAGCATTACATATGGTTCTGTCAAGCAATCAGGATCACCAAACATCTGTAGCTTCTCCATTATCAGCGGCAGAATTAGCCAAGCAGGTCAAAATAGTTCTACTAATGAAACAAGCAAGTTCCAACTCAGTTCGGAGACTGTGGACAATACCAACGGGTCATATTGTGGTTTTCTTCTGACAAAAACCCCCAGTTTTCCACCAGAAGATAATTCAACTGGAGAATTTCTTTTGAGCGGACTGGATGCTGAGCATGCTTCAAGGATTTTTAATGGTATAGATAGAGATCATACTTTACCCAAGCCGAAGTATAGAAAAAAGATGTTCAGGGCAAAGACCCCAACATCTGAACAGGTGGCATCGTTGCATTTGAGGGAAGGGAGTAACACGATTACCTTCACCTTCTCCACAGCAATGCTAGGGAAGCAGCAGGTTACTTTTGTGCCTTGACACTTTTGAACACTAGGCCTAGAGAATTCTTTCAATTCCTTCTCTAGGAAGAAAGCAATCTTTCTCCATTACAACTAACATTGGACAATTGAACAGGTTGATTGCAAAATCTATTTATGGAAATGGAATGATCGTATTATTATTTCCGATGTTGATGGCACCATTACCAAGTAAGGCCACTATAACCTTATAATATAAAAGGACTATGTGGGCTGTTTACTATTTCACATTTCTTTGGTTCATCTGCTCACTCACTCGACTTAATTTCATGATTGTAGGCTATACAGACATTTAGACTGTTTATTCTGGTGCTATTTCTTAGTTTTAGAAGACAATTCGAATGTCTAATTTTGGACGAGCGATAAGACCTTTTGCATAAATTCCATGATCACGCCCCAAACGACATGAATTAAACTGTTACGTTTTGTTGTTAGTTTGGTCTGGGACTTGAACTTAACTAGATGCAAGCCAACACACTCTCACAATTAGCCCCTTGTCTTACGTCCACCTTATACCATTTGGGTAGTAATGCTCATGCCCTTTACAGTTTCTCCTGGACCAACAGGAACCTGTAACATATTGTTTTTCTGGTGTCATCAGATAAGTCAGTCTCATTAGTTTGCCAACTAGCCTCTTTTACCTGTCAAACAGACGATCTTTGACTTACCGGCGCCATAACACTTGATCAATAGAACATCTTTGATGAGTGTCACTATAATTATATTTCCAAACTGTGATCAAAGTAAATGAGTGCGCTTTCGCCCGATTAACATGTGTTGGAGCATGGATTGCCCTCTTATAATGATTTAGTTCCCTTGGCTAAAAGTTGAATATGCTGGAGCTTAAATATATATGTCATAGCTTTTCTTGTTCATAACCAATTTCAGCAGATTGAGTTTTGGGTCTTGACTTGAGGCTGACACCTCGGCTTTCGCAACATGATCATATCTTTTCATACCAACAGTGATCTCAAAGTTTTTATTTATTTTGATTTTGTCTTGAAGTAGACATTTTTCAAGATTGATCTTATCTCACTGGTCGTAGTTTCAATTTTAACAGGTCTGATGTTTTAGGGCAGTTCATGCCTTTGGTTGGGGTAGATTGGTCACATATAGGTGTTGCACGTCTCTTTTCGGCTATTAAGGTTTGCTGCACTTTTTACCCTTTCTTGTGAATTAGGTTTTACTTTCAAGGAAGCTATGAAGTTGCTTCTATCTTAGAATTTTGGAAGTCAATATAGTTCTTAGAATGTCTGGCGGCACCTTAGTCCAGAATTTTGATACGATGCTACTGTCTTGAAAAGTTCATTTCAAGGCATAGGCTTGATGATGTGTACTACTGATTATGACACCAAGCAGGCCTACATACCGAAAGATTAGACCTATATTTCGCATAAATTGATAGCAATGATAGGACAAGTCATCTGATTTTACCTTTCACGGACCTACCTTGTTCTTCCTTTCAGGAAAATGGATATCAATTGCTTTTCCTCAGTGCGCGTTCCATTTCTCAGGCTTATCTGACTAGGCAATTTCTATTCAACCTCAAACAGGTATTTCAATGTAATTTTGTTCCTAATTTCCCACCTAAGGTTGATCTGTCGAACATATTTGTCACTAAGTTTCCCTGCCACCTGACCCCTGTGGTGCCTCTTCTTCTCTCGCCAGTTATATCTTCCTTAAATTTGAGTTCTTTCTATTTCAGGATGGCAATGCCTTACCAGATGGACCTGTTGTTATATCTCCTGATGGGATTTTTCCTTCTTTATTTCGAGAAGGTATCTTGCTCCTATGCATAATTATGCTTAGTTGTTGAAATAGGTGTGCTCTCTTGAGGTTACCTTATGGAGTACGGAAAATCTTGCGTGACATGCAAAACCAGTGAACAAAAAGAGGCAACACAAGTGAAGATGTGTGGCAAGTAGAGAAACGACGGACAAATTTTTGTCTTTCGGCCACTGGAAGGCATCCACTGCCAAAGGAGGATGAAAATTCATTGCAAATTGAATTACATGAAGTTAAAGAACTCTTACAAAAACTTGGCTTTGAAAATTCAGCCTTTTGCTCATGCTTCATATAACAGAAACAGTTAAAGAGAGACGTCTCACAAAGCCCAAGATAGAGTATTCAAATAACCTAACTAAGATAAATGTCAAACTGGGTCACAATTTAGGCGGAGGTCCACCAATTATACAAGTCATTAAAAAAAAATCTCCCCTTCAACTTGAACTTCATCAAATTCCCAAAAACAACAGAACTCACTCAACCTTCTCCACACACCATAAGGGTATTACACAACACTACACAAGCCAATCAAGTCCAAGACATGCTTGAGATTAGAGGAAGAGGATTCATTGCCACGTCAGTTGGATTATTTGCAGTACCAATTTTCTTCTTCGCTTATCTCTTTGAGAAATAATTCCACGAACATAATATCATCTGATGTCAGTTTGCTTTGATCTCTCTTAGGGAACATCTGATTCTTAGATGAATAGCATTCTAGCTATCACCTGCACAATTGTTTCTTCACAATCCAAGCAAAGACAGTCCTGCAACTTGGCCTTCCAGCTGTGCAACCATTAACTATGAACTCATTCCCTGTATCTCCTTCTGTCGAGATCACCAGCATAACTGATTTGAATGATGCTCATCTAACATTATCATATCTTCTATCTGCTTCGTGTTTCCTAATTCACGTGATTTCCCTGTTTTTTCCAGTTGTGAGGAGATGTCCTCATGAATTTAAGATAGCATGCTTAGAGGTTAGTTCCTCCCAGTTTCATGTTGAAGTATACAATTTATCTGTGCATAATGCTTGTTGCAATACTCTGTTCTATGCATTTGAAATTTGTTTGCTGTCATTAGCCCGTTCAGAAGTTCGACACATTATCATGCTTCCTCTCTTCGCAAGTTGGTGTGTGCGTGTGCGTGTGAACACGTACAAGCATGTCTTATGTTGTGATTATGGTTCTTCTTGTAAACTTTTTATGGTGTAAAAACAATGTACATAGTAGTTGTTCATTCTGAATTTCTTTTTGAGGTCTTTCTCATTTACATCACGAGTGGAGAAGAGTCTTTCTTCATTCTTCCTTCAGCATATGAAACGAGTACTATGAGGAATCTTTCTTCATTCTTCGTTTGACATTTACTTATCAGAACATTTGTCTGTGACTTCCCATAAACCAGTAACTATAAAAATGCAGATCATTTGTTTGATTGAGAAAACAGCTGATTTTCTATTAGTCTATTCTGACTCTGTGCTTCATTGCTTTTCCTCCAATACTTTCTAGGATATCAAGTCATTATTTCCCTCAGATTGCAATCCTTTCTATGCTGGTTTTGGAAACAGAGACACTGATGAAATCAGTTACCTCAAAGTTGGAATACCAAAAGGAAAAATTTTCATAATCAACCCCAAGGTGAGTCAATGACTAAGCTAAAGTGAAATCTCATGGCAGTATAGCATTATTTTCTTTGATGAATCTGATTTGCAGGGTGAGGTTGCCGTGAACCGTCATATTAACACAAAGTCATATACATCTATTCATGCTCTTGTTAATGGCATGTTTCCACCGATGACCTCACGGTCCTCATGTGAGCAGGTTTGCTTCTGTAACTCTATTTGCTTTACTTATAGTTTCGGACTCTATAAACCAGCAACTGAAAGGAGAAGAGCTTCAGTTAGCTTACCCTTTCGAGCACTACGTACACACAGCTTCACTGGAGATAGTTATCCACTTTTTTTTTTTTTCTGTTTGACTTATATATGTATACAATATGCAAAATTATGTGCATGAGGGAAAAGATTTTGGGCATAACATATCTAGATATAGAATATTAATTTGATTGCCCTTTGATTTCCACCCAGAACCCATTTGCACTTTTTGTTTCAATTGAACACTGAACTCTGACTGAAAGAAAATGAGATCGACTTTTGTCTGGTTAGTCAACTGGAGTTGAATTTTAGTAAGAGATCCATGTTTGCAAACATGGACATGCCTTTGGTGAACTAATACAAGGCTATATTCCACGAGGAATCTTTAAAGACGGAGAAGTCAAACAGTTTAGCCTCCAAAAGTTTTTTGTGAACCAAGAATTTCCTATCTTTGGCCCAAAAAAACAAATTATTGCAATGAAGTTTTCTTTTTACTTTTACTTTGGTATTGATTATTAAAGTGAACTGAGCCTATGATCTGTATATTTTAAGTAAATATATTTTCCTTTGCCCAACTTTCTCCTTTCTTAAGTCAATTTCTTTTTCTTTTCGGTAATTCAATAAATTTTATATATACCAAAGAGAGGGCAAACAACATCCCTTACAATCCCAGGCCGACAAAGACAACTTTGACCTACTCAACCAGTTACAAGGCCTAGAGAAACAGAGTAAAATTATCAGTCCAACTACTGAGACCAACAAAAGTGAAATTTGAAAATCTACACTAGCTCCTAACGACAGAGATGAATCCTACAGAGCTCAATGCATAACAACTCTCAAATTTCTACAGATATCCGCTACTTCAGTAGACAGCTGCTCCTGCTTCTTGCCATCATGCACTAGAGATTCAAGAGCAATTTAAACTGCGAAAGTGAAATCCACCATGACTTGATCAAAACGGGGATTAACTGCTCATGCAAAACTCGATTCCTCTCCATACAAAATCGTAGATTGAAGCCTTCCCTTCCAATTTGAGAAGTTTCACCTTCAGAAATCTGCCTTTTATTTCCTTCAAATCCCAAGGGTACTCCACATTCCAATCAGCTGCAGGCCTATCTTATTCAACAGTTTCAAAACTTGCTTCCGAAGTTGACTAGAAATTGAACACTGGAAAACAAACGTTGCCTGGACTCTGCTTTTTCTTTTTCTTTTTTTTGGCACTGGACACATTCAATATCACACTTCTTCAACCTATCAAATGTTTGATGTCTATTCAACAGAGTCAGCCATACTGTAAAGCCATGCTTAGTTATGCTTTATTTAAACCAAACAAACTGTGCCAGTTTACTTTAAGTCCATGTTGACAAATTAGATTCCAAGCCTCAAGATTAGTGAATTTCCCATCTTTAGATCCCAGGAAAAGAACTTTATCTGAAGCATCAGGATTTGGGAACAACTTTCCACATATAGCAGCTTGAATATCAAAAGTCTTTCCCTTCTCGCGGCTAGTCAACACCACTCTCTTGCATGTATAACATCTGCAAATTTAGCTGACTTTTGGAGGGAAGAATCATAGATAGTTCTAGTAGTTATTTTATCCATTAGAGCTCCAAATGGATACCATCTATCAAACCACAAAGAGATAGATTTCCCATCTCCCACAATATATTCCACATGAGATTTAAGGATACTCTTGGTTTTTGTATCTTTCTCCTGGCATTGCTACAATTAGATTGAGCCTCTGCTTTCTATATACTTCCTTTATTCAGGAGATGACTATGGATCCAAGCAATCCATAGGGAACCTGATTCTAAGCGGCAAGCTCCAAAGCATGTTAAGACTGCATTTCGAAGCCCCAATCCCCCTCACATTTAGGAGTACATAGAACAGACCGAGCTACCTTTGCACCATGTAAATTAGCAGCCTTCCCTTTCCACAATAGAACAGAGCATTTACTCTCAACAGCATTAATGAATTTTTTAGGAAGAATGACCATTTGACACCAAAAGTTGACTGGACCATACACCACAGATTATATAGGCTCAAGTCTGCGAAGGTAGTTAACCATTCGACATAATCTGTCATTTCCTGTGGTGCGACTCACATATTTCCATTCTGTTTTGGTTCCAGGAAGACTATAACTCATGGAACTTTTGGAAGCTGCCTTCTCCTGCTATTGACATATGAAGTGGTGTTCCATGCATTTTAGAGGCAGATCCATCTGATGTTAGCCATCTCATTGTTGAACTCCAGCAATTTTTATCTCAGGAACTACGGTGGAAGTTCAGGTTGTTTACTGAAGTTTAACCCTGTGATATATGGAATGATACTGATTCTTATACAGTCTGAAATGTTCAGCAATTTCAGTATAATAAGAAATGGAAAATCAAGAATCAACCCGAAATGGCAGTTATAAGATGAATCACAGCGAAGATCAGTTTATGTGGCACCCTATCTGGCAGTTACCTCTATAGTATACTTCCGTCTCAGAGCTTTCAGCTTCGCTCATGTGAATAATCATGTAAGTTTTTCACGCCCCTCTCTAGACACAGACTTAAGACGTAAAAAAAAAAACGAAAAAGAAATATGGAGTGGGTTTTAATTCTGAATTTGGATTGGTATATTAGCAATAGTCACGTTTCAGTTTGTATTTTCAGAACTGCAGGATACACACGTCAAAAGTTGCTGGAAAAGAGCTGCACGTCTGTGTTACATGCAGCCATTCACGGGTTTGTCATTTTGATTGATAGCTGCTTTCGCCTGACTGAGGTTCATTTCGATATCCTCTATTCACTGTCGTGGACTTTTCAATGACCTATCTGATCTAATCGTGTCCAAGGGGTAAGTTCCCTTTTGAGACTCAGCATTCCATTCATGCACGCTTAGGATGTACTTATGTCAGTAGTTAAGCCTCACTAGTTCAACATTCACGTTTGGCCCTATCGTTGTTGAGATCTTCAAATATGAGCACCTAAAAGTGGTAAGTTCTGTGTAAGACAATTTCTTCTGTGTGCAAAAGCATTGATATCGTATTTCTCTTGATTTAAACAATCCAAGGTGCATATCGAACTTTATTGGGGTTGAACGCTAACCGAACGAGCCAAGAATTTCTAATGGCTAGTTTTGTTCAACGTTGTCATTCATTTGGCTAGCTTCTGGTGCTTGATCAGATGACTCAAACTTAATCAGTTCCGCTAAAATTTGGAAATCTGAATGGGATGGGGTGGTTCGACGGTTAAGACCATAGTTAGCCTTCTCTTTGCTTGATTGCAAATTTTTTGTAACCGTAGTGGTTACTCATAAGGGATATTTCGATACAAACATAAGTGCAATTGGCGTATGCTCAAACAACTAGACTTGAGCATACAAGCTTCTATATCAAACAAGAGAGCTCAACCATTTTAGATATTATTACGTCAGCCTTCAAGCAGAGGACTTAAAAGGCTACAATTTTCACGCTGAGATGTTTCTCTGCAAAGTCCACAATGTTGTTGATCTCATTCTTGTCAACGAAACCATCGCGGCGTCCGCTGTACGCACCACGTTGCTGCTCTTCCACCCAGAGAACCATCCGCTGGTGACCCGGATGGCGTCCCGGAGCTCCTCCTTGCTCATTCTCCCGTCATTGTTGGCGTCAAATCTTTTCAACCACTTCTTGAACTCCTTCATGCACATCACACAATTTAAATTACCGTCCGCGATGCCTCGAGTTTTGATCGCCATTGTCGATGCAGCAAAGTGTTTTAGATCTTTGTATGTTAGTTAGAGGAATAACAAAATGCTACAGGGTGAAAGAGTTGTGCAGGCTTTTTATACTCGTATGCTAGTCACATTCAGCCACCATAAGCAGAAGAATAAAAATCTCTTCGAAAGTGAAACGTGTTTGTGGTGATGGGCTTGAATATAGCATAAAGGCGATGAAGTTATCTTCTTCATGATAAACTAATGAATGGGTCAAAACTTTTCCGATGGAAGGTAGTTGGCATCAAAACCGTAATCTATTGATACGTCAGTTGTCATTTGATCCACTGGGCATTAACTCAGTTTTTGGTCTGAATTGGGGCCGGATTCATGAGAATCACAAGAATTTTATCTATAGTGAATTCCATACGCTAAGTATATATATCAAGAACGTCATATAGAAGTTTTGACTGATAATTCATACATATGTCCTTGTTTCCTCGAGACCATAGGCAATTGGCACACCGTGAGACATGGCCACGGACACGTGTCATACGATTAAACCATAAGAAGTTCAAAATACGCAATATAAACCATGAGTTATATAACTTCATATCTTGTTCATTCTTAAATGATCGCTTCAACTTCGGAACACCTAAAAAAATAAACAACAAACATAATTAATACTTAACAAAGTATATTTGTCCAACTGAGCTGCACTCATAAGGTGAGCAAGGTGAGCGGAGAGGCGAGTGAACAGAGGTGAGCGGCAAGGCAAGTGAGGCAAGCAAAGAGAGGCAAGCGGTGAGGCGAGCGAACATAGGCAAGCCAAGCAAGGTGGGTGAGCGAGGCAAAGATGAGCGAAGAGGGTTTCTATTTTTTTTTGTTGAAGTAGAGCTGGGACTTTCTATTTACACGGCCAACTGAACTGCATAAGAAAGAAGAGAACAAAGGAGGAGATGATAGGGTTTAGAGTAGATAAAAGCATAAAATGTATAATATGTATTATATATAAATATATATAGGTTTGGTCCGGGTTGGACCAACCTTAAACTCCCAAGACTGAGGACCAACCCATACAGTGCGGGGTCCAGGGATCCCAGGACCAAGGACCAACCCAAACCCCCTAGGAACTGGATGATCGACCGGGTTGGGCTGGTCTAGGGTCAACCCTGGACCGATGCTTACCCCTACTCTCTACCCTTTCTCTGTAGTCTCTCTTCTCTTTTTCGTCTCTTGTGGCTGAGTATCTCAATTGTCTGGCACCCCTCCCTTCAATTGTGACAATGTATTTATAGAGAATAGCTGGTTTTAATTTGATTAATGAGGTCGATTCTCGGCCACATTAGCTCTATGGGCTTATTACCAAGCTCAAAACCTCTTTAATTTAAGATCAAATTAATCATGCGGGCTCAATTTAACTTATTAAGTTCAAAACTCCACATCCTTTAGTAAGTTGTCACACTCATTGATTCTATACCCATTTTGGATCATCACACGGTCAAACTTCTCATGCCATTATTTAGGAGCTTGTTTAAGTCCATACAATGATTTGACAAGTCTACACACTTTGTGTTCTTGTCATTTGACCTTGAAATCTTCCATTGGCATAGATTTCCACATTTTCATATTTGTGAACCAAAAATCTGTATGCGCTGCTATTTTGAGCATAAGCGATGAATATGTAATCCACCGTTTTAGATCCCAATCGAGTTTGTTTAGGAGGAGGTATCGCCACCTTGGCTAGGCACGCACACATTTTCAAAATTTGTAGGATGGTAACCTTCTTGATTTAGTAGGGCAGGCCTGAGCAGCACTGACCCGTTGTCCTTCCACTGCTGATTGCGAGAGTTTTTCGCCTTTGAGCTCTCCGCTCTAGTACACACGAAGTCCAAGCCTTCACCCAAGAGCCTTCTGCTTTAGTGCACACAAAGTCCAAGCCTTCACCCTCGAGACCTCTACTCTAGTGCACACAAAGTTCGAGCCTTTCGTTCTAGTGCACACGAGCTCCAAGCCTTCGCCCTTGAGACTTCCGGCTTGGAATGGGCGTGCCAGTAAAGAGCCATGACTTGCTCAAACCATTGGATCTGAGCCCATGTCCCATCACCTTGTTGCCTCCACTAGGGTTACAAGCTCGTGTGAGTGAACTCGACATCCAAATCTCCTTTAGAGTTCTGTTGAACCATCCTTCCAGAAATGGAACCATATGCCATTTGGCCTATACTATTATGAAAAATAGTCCCAGGTACATCAGTCATGCAACTAGTACCCATACCACCATAGATGGTCTTGGCCCAAAGGTCTGCAGCATTTGTTGCCACATAACCAGGCCTCGAGGTATGAACCACTCCAACAACAGCGGTCGAATCAACCAAAGGAACGTCTCCAGAAACATCCTGGACATTAATGGATACTAGTTTGTTATCAGCTGTCTTGATTTTCTGATAACCTCAACAAGCAATCAGCCTAATTGCCCTAAGATTGTTGGAAAAACACGCAAAACGTTACTATTTGTTGTGATCAGAAAGTTTAAACAGAAATAATAACTCTGACATAGTAATAACAAATTAACTATGACCAAGCCAATGAGTAAATATATTAAATGAATCTTTTCAACAAGTGAAGAGTACACCAATACATCCCAAGTATAGACTAGCAAAATTGCTATAAAAATTGTAACAAAATTATACAAGAGGTAAGGTATGACTAACCGAATCTCCTTAAGGCAACTATGCTTCCTAAGATATAGCACATCGAACCTATTTTTATTAGCATTATACAAACAGGACTTCGTTGAACACCTCTCAAAATCGACACACTTAAAGGATGACTTTCTAAAGAAGAATTTTCATTCAGAATGACTCTCAACTATCAAGAATAGCTCAATTCCATTTATAGAGTTTGAATGGACATGAACTAAACACATAGAAACTGAAAAGACACATGAACTTAACAAATACATGTACCGAAGATATTTTTGAACTGAAGATATTCATAAACTTAATAGATACAACATGTGAATTGAAGAGACATGTCTCGTTTTGCTCACATACATGATCCATTAACGCATAATTACAATAGATGGGACTGAGGTGACCAGTAGGAGTGGCGTCAAAGAAGAACTCATGGGGAATGTAAAAGAACTGAGGAATTTTGGAATGAGAATTCTGTTCTTCATTGCCACAGAAACGTAACATATATACAAGAAGATACAGCTATCAAACAAACTCCTAATTAGGCTAAACTACTAAAAGTACAAGGATCACACAATAAAAAGTAATAAAAGATGTGCACACAAAACTTCCTAAGTAAACGGCCTAAATAAAAGCAGATCACAGCTGCCTTTCCAATACCCCCCCTCAAGTTGGAGCATGGGGATCTCGAATGCCCAACTTACGAAGAATAAAGTTAAATTGATCCTTTCCCAACGCCTTCTTGAAGATATCAGCTGGCTGCATTGAACTACGTACGTAATCTGTTTGAATGTTACCATTAAGTATCTCATTACGAATAAAATGACAGTCCACTTCAATATGCTTGGTACATTCATGATAGACAGGATTGGCGGCTATATGTAAAGCTGCCTGATTGTCGCAATACAAGTGCATAGGTTGAGAATGTGCCACACCAAGAGAATCCAATAATCCTTTCAACCACTTAAGTTCACAAACTGTAGTAGTCATAGACCTGTATTCCGCTTCAGCGGATGAGCAAGACACTGTCTGTTGCTTCTTAGTCTTCCACGAGATAGGAGATTCTCCCAAAAGAACAAAGTAACCAGTCAAAGATCGTCTCGTCAAAGGACAACTAGCCCAGTCAGAATCGCAGTAAGCAGACAATTTCAGGTCACAATTGGCACGCAACATAATACCTGACCTGGATTTCCTTTCAGATAACGCAGAACTCTCACAGCTGCCTCCCAATGAGCTTTCTTTGGCCGCTGCATGAACTGTGCAAGAATATGCACACAGTAAGATAATTCAGGTCGAGTTATTGTTAGATAAATAAGCCGACCCACTAGGCGCCTATACTGAGCAGGGTTGTCTACATCATCGCTCTCAGTAAGGGCTAGCTTGTGATTTTGTTCAAGAGGAGTTTTAGCTGGCTTGGAACCCAGTAATCCGACCTCAGAAATCACATCCAACGCATACTTACGTTGACACAAGAAAATACCATCCGAGTTTCTCGCCACTTCAATCCCCAAGAAAAATTTCAGCTTCCCCAAGTCTTTCATATGAAAACAACGACTCAAATAGTTCTTGAACTTTTGCACAGCGGAAATATCATTACCGGAGATAATGAGATCATCAACATAAATAAGCACATTCAATTGAACAGTCCCAA